ATTTAAAGAGTGGCTCAGGGAGGTGGCAAAATTACGGAAAGGTACAATTTTCGGTCGTTAAAATCAGTTTCAGTCGTTGGCGAATTTAGCGGAAGGGGGGAGGGCTTAGGTAGCAGTTGTTTTACTGTACAAAAGTCTGTTCGGTACTCCCTGTCGCTCCCCTTCCCCCACCCGCGCAGTAGATGGCCCTGGGTCCGCTTATGATTTCAGTCACTTATTTACAAGTTTACTTAATATTCGATTATTAACCTATCGGCTTACTAGTTTGTTCAAAACATTGCATGGTGCTAGTAAGATCAGCATCAATAGTATTTTGCCTATCTACTTATCCGGTGGCAGTTTTGCATGCTTATATATTCATTTATTTGCTGTTATGCGTCAATAATCTTCCTGCTTATTTAGGTATTACAATAAGGTATTTATTTGTTCATCAATTTTGCTTATTCATTGTTTGTTGTTTTTCTTTTATTTGTTTGTTTCTTTTTTATTTTTAAAGAATTTTCTGTGTTTCTTTGGATACACCACTCTTTTATTTGATTACTTATTTGTTTCTTTAATTCTTATTATCCTCATGATTATTATTGTTATTCTTACGATTATTTTTATTTGTTTCTTTATTTTTTCGTTTGATTATTTTTAATTCAGGATTAAACTAGTTTCTCGCATCATTTCTTGCTGTAATACCCTTGCTTGCCTCGTTGCGACGTCTGGACAATGATTGATGGAATTCATTGGGCTTTTTGTGCTCACCAGATGTTGATTGCCGATTTTAATCGATGTCTTTAAAGCGAAGTACAGAGGGAGGTTACAAGTGAGAGGTAGGACTAAGAGGGAAAAGGAAATTGATAGGAGTGCGGCTGTGTTAGTTAATATTCGGGAGCTTGCCCCTCCTGGGAGTACAACTTCAGCTGACCGCTGGTCACTACTTTGTAACATTTTTCGTTGGTTCGCTTTTGCAATCAATCATGTTGAGCGTGGATGTTGACAGGATGATGGTGCACCTCCCTGTGCCCCTCTCGATGTGATAAGAACATTTTGCCCTTTCAGAAAATGTGGTGCAATTACAATATGAGATTCAACGCAGTAGTCATTTGCACACAGTCAAGATGTTCACTGTAAAGTTATGGGATTCCCAGAGTGCTTATCGCAGTCTAGGTGCTAACTGGCAATATAATTTAAAGGACATTATTGGGTAAGAGAGGGAAGGAGGGGGAAGGGGGAGGGAGGGAAAACCGAATTTCGAATCATTGCATCTAAAATTTTGCCAAAATTTTTTAAATACTAATAACGATAAAATAATTTTATTTTTA